ATTGTGTGTGTTTATTCTTTATTGAGGTAACTGGTTTATAACTGGTTTATAATGTGTATGATTTAGATATTTAGGATCACCCCTTCAGGTGTCTGTTACCACACCGCACCCACCGCCAAGTCACCCCTAGTCCACCACCATAGTATGTTTTCCCCTCTCTTGACTCTGCTCTCATTTCCTTCCTCCCTCTTTGGTAGCTTCAATTCTACAGTCACATTTCCAGGGTTTGTTATTGGTTTGGATTTATCTAACCCTTTGTTTTGTTTCTCTATGTTCCATATATGACACCATCCTGTACTTGTCTTCCTCCTTTCTGAGTTATCTTGTTTAGCATAATCCTCTCCAGTTCCATCCATGTTGTCACAAAGGTCAAGAGTTTGTATTTGGCGTAGCTGAATAAGTATTCTATTGTGTGTATACACCAAAGTTCCTAATCTACTCATCCATCTTTGGGTACTTAGGTTGTTTCCATAGCTTAGCTGCTATAAGTAGTGTGGCAATAAGCATAGGAAGTGCATACAGCCTTTTGAATTAGTGTTTTTGCATTCTTTAGATAGATACCTAAGAGTGGACTTGCTGGATCATGTGATAGGCACTCAAGAACCAAGAATCACAAGTGTAAAATGTGTTCTTGTTTTCTAATGAAGTAAAGAGAGATCCTACATCTAACCTGCCCTATTCTTCCAATCCCCACACTACATGATTCTGAGAGGGATGGGTGTTTCAGTTTTACAGTGCCAGTCATTTAGTGGATTCCTGTATAAGTTTTATTAAGACAAAAAAGAAAACAACAGAAAAACATCAGAGTGCCTTGAATAATGGGGTTGACTCAGCCCTTTTATTATTATCTAGAAACATCAGTCAGTCATTCTGGTCCTAAAAATACTATGACATATGTCTTGTTCCAATATGATATGAACTTCCAGACCCTCAAATCATCACAGTTTTATAGGTCTCACTCCTATGATCCTCATTATACTTCCATTTGCTGACTCGATAGACATTTCCTCCACACTCCTCACAGATGATATAGATGTATCTTTTCTTCCTTGTTTTCCCATTGTAATCACTGAACACAGTGTTTGCAGGATTTAACTGAGACCAATTCGCCTGTCTCTCTATCTTTCTTTCATACTCTTTCTTGCTTTCCTTATCTCCCCTGATACATTTGGGCCTGAGAATTATAATGATTATTATTTAAACAATGTTCAAAGAGGAGAATTAAAGAAAGTCTGACTCTTCTCCAACTCAGTTGGATAATAACCCAGGACATGCATTTCTAATTGCAAAAAAAATGAAAATCTTTACCAGGCAAATAGCAAACTACCCTGTAGGATTGTCTGACATTTCTGCATTTTACAGAACAGAACACTCCATCACTGAACGTACAGACTATTGCATAGTTTACTTAGGATGGGTCAAAAAGTCACCCTTCTGAGTGATACTCCCTTCTGAATGTTCCAAATATTGGAACATTCGCAGGGTATTTTCCCTTCTCTGCTGCCAGAATCATCCAGATGAAGTGTGAAAAATCAGTGGCTATATCGTCCAGACAAAACACGTGCCAGCTAGATAGTATGGCCATCACTAAGTAACAAAATTCCTTCAATCCTATCCCAACTAACAAATACTTAACCCTTGCTATATGTTTGGCCTTAGCCCAATCACAGAGGATGTAAAGGTATATAAAGCTCATTTCTGCCCTTGGAAATTCAGTCAATTGGGTGAGACTGATTAGAATCCAATCAATACATACTATGAAAGAAGAGAGAAAAAAATGACATTGAAACACTAACCCCAAAAACAATGAGTAAGAAGTGAGCAACTTCACCTAGTGTGTCAACATAGATTCAATTAAGCACCTCCATAGATCCAGGCATTGGCTGGGCACTGGAAGAGAGAAGTGCACGCAGTTCCTCCCTTCAGATGGTATAAGTGGAGCCAGAGAGACAAACTTGGAATAAATAAATGCATAAATCAAAGTCAATTAAAGAAATAGAAATTTCCATAAAGAAAAAAATGGTATAAAATGGGATGATAGGGAGAAGTAATTAAAATCTAGACATCGAGGAGGGATTTTAAAGCAAATACCATTATAGTTAAGACATGGGAGATGAGCAGGCATTTGCTGGGAAAGAAGGTGGGGAAGAGAATTCTAGGTAGAGAGAACAGAAGAAGCAGAGACCCTGAGACGAGAGTTTTAAAAAGTATCCCATGTGGCTTGAGCATAGTGAACAAACATTACTATTTTTTAAATAATTTAAAAAATATTTAAACTTGTAATTAAATAAATTATATTAAACTAACAGGAAGACCTAGGTAAAACTCATAACTTTTTGATTTATTTTACTACATTTTGCTATTTTCTAAGCCCTTTTGTACACTTAATAGTTCTGTATAATGGCAAAGCTGTGTAATGGTGTACCTCTGTGCACGTCTTCCTGCTCTACATTCAGTGAAATTGGCCATGGAGAAAGTTAAGCACCACGGAAATCAGCAAATGCTATAAACAAGGCTTTTTTCCTCCCCTAGAGTCAATTGTTAATCACTCACATGTATATTATTATAAGAAAGGGCCAAGGTCTTTCAGAAGTAGTTAATGAAAATAAAAGTATGGATGTAGACAGAATATCTGTAACTACTTCCCCAGAATCTACTGTTATATCATCACCCTCCTAAACAGGACCCAAAAATTCCCCAACCATGCAGTTTACAGAGTAGTAGCTGCAGAATTGGGCTCTAACTGCCCTAAGCCCAGGAGCTTAACCCAAACCTATGACTACTGTCAATCTAGTTTGAAGATGAATTAATGATACAAATTAGGTCAACTGTGGACACAGAGGCTAATTTGAAATAGCTTTATTTGAGCTACCAGGACATCCAACCTCTTATCCCTTCTAGATTGCACCAGAAAGTTCGTAGCCTTATGTAAGAGATAGCAAGCCATTGTGAAACCAAAAATGAAAGAGACTACTTGAATGAATATAAACTAAGGAAGTAGGAACAAAATAAGTATGAGAAAAACCAGGTTGTATCCAAACCAACATTGAACAATCAAATCTTAAACTTCCTGTGATTTAATGAATTCTCTTTGTCTTTAGTATGATTAAAATAGACTTTAGCTACTTACACCAGAATGACTCATTTCTGATATGTAACATGGGGTTTGTATGCAAGATGAGGTAATTGCAGGAGAACATTAATACACTTAGCCATTTTTATTATTACTGTGTATGTTTATATGCCTGATTCTCCACACAGAGAGCAAGCTCTTTGTAAATTGAAACCTTTTCCTGCACATAGATAATTCTGTGACTAACTTAACACTTGTCCCTCACATAGAAGGGGGCAAGTCCTACTAAGTTCTTAATATTTATTTGCTTGATTGAATTGGATAGTCAGGGAGGGATTGTGCAAGAAGTGGAGTGAATCAGAATAAATTCCTTTTCTTTTCTTTGGCTAAGTGGTCTGTTTGAATCCATCTGCTGTCATTTGTAAATGTCCCAGGGAGATGGGAGTGAAGCAATATGGTCCATGAGTCCAACAGTCCAATCTCTCAACTGGAGAAGGTCACAATTTTCTGTTGGAATCGATGATAATTAACCATCATTTTTAAATAGCTTGATCACTAAGAAAACTCCTTTGGTGTATGTTTTCATGATGCTACATATCAGGATAGAAATTACAATGTGCCGTCAAAAACCTATACATGTGATACTACCTGGGCAAAATACCTAGTTATTTAGGCAGGCTTTTCATTGTCTATCTAGAAGTCTGGGTTATGTCAAGGAAGGGGATGGCAACACATGTGACACTTCCAGAATGTTATGACACTGTGTCTCTGAATGACACCACTCCCTTATGACTGGGAGACACTGATGAGTTTAAATAGGCAAATCACGTGAGTGTTTCAGTTATATTTCAAGGCAGAAAGAGGAATTAACTGTGGAAATAGGATTGCTATCTCTGCTTTCCAACCCTCCCCTGTCTTTCTCAATAATCCTATTGCTGACTACCATCAATATATCCAATTTATTTATATCAATTCTCTCCATTTCCTAGGATATAAGCTCAGAGGGCAAGAGTTTGTCTCTACTTTTGTTGAGTGCTCTATTTGTAGCACCTAAAATAGACTCCCACATATAACTACTCAATTAACATTTATTGAACAAATCAGATGGTTTGAAAAATGGTAATCTTCTAATCGATTCATAAATCAGAAACTAAGGTGTCCTGGTTGGGGGAAAGGACTTTTTTCCCTAAGTAAAATTAAAAAGACCCAGTGCCTTGAGTGCTAGCTCAACTTTGTGACAGTAAACAATTTGATTGACATTATATTGCTTGGTTTCTCCATCTAAAGATGAGGGTAATATTATAGTACTAGCACTACACGTTTCAAAAACTTTTAAGTATCCCCAAAGAAGCAATCATTACAAAGATGTTAGGGTGAAGATGCAATATAGGAGCTTAGCATAAAGGTTTTTCATAAAATGAAAGTATCTCAGCTGCCCATGTGTTCACTAAAGTGGCAAAATTCTATTTTTCAGCTTCTTAGCACACTAGCAACCACTCAATAGAGTTTCCTGTGTTTCTGCTGCTTCTAGAGCATTGCTATTACAACTTCTAATTAACTATTTCCAAATAAAACTGCCATTTCTGCACTTCAAATCTACCTTCAAAGTCACGAAAATTTTCATGAGAAAAACAGACGAATTAACAAATCCATTCTAACTGATACTTACATAAAAATATGAGATAACTACCCTTATCTAGAGCAATTACCCTTCCTCCCAACATGTTAATAGCAAACCAGTCTTTCAGCTGTGGGAGGTCCATTTATTCTCTTCCCTTTTTCTCCCTCAAGACAAATCCTATCTTGCAGGGTCTCCCTTCCAGTCCTTAAAAAAGAGACCCTGTACCTTTAATAACAGAGACCTGGAGAGAGGTTTCTTTCCAGACTTGTTCCCTAGCTTCCAAGTGACGAAACCAGCTGTAATTTGAGAGCAGAGAGATCCTCAGGATATCATTAGCCAAAGGAAAAGCTCCACATTCCCACCCAGTCCTGCAGTTGAAATAGTATCAGAGGGCAAGAACTTTTTTTTTCCAGCTCCAGGCTCCATCTCCCAGGAGCAACAGAGAAATCCGAGTGTGAGAGTGAGGTAACAAGCCCAGCGTCCTGCCAGAGCGCTGGAGGACGCCCCCCTCGCCCCTCCACCGGGTGATCCAGGGGGAAACAGCCGGCTGAGCTCCAGCCACCCCGTGCTGCACTGAGCGCGGAGCTGCGCAGAGGAGCGCGCATCCTGCGCAGAGGGCAGTGCTACCCAGGCGCTGGTGCCACAGCCACATGAAGCCAGCTGGGGAGGTGGAGCCAGGGTGCAGCCAGCGGACTGGGACTGAGCCGGGCTCCCTCTCAGAGAGGCACTGACTCCCAGGGGACCCCCTTCCTCGTGCCTAGGCGAAAAGTCTTTTCCAGGGTCATCCTGACTCTCCATGATGATGTTCCTGAAGTTTCTCTGGATGGGTTTCTTCTGCCACCTGTGTCAGGGCTACTTCGATGGCCCTCTCTATCCAGAGATGTCCAACGGGACTCTGCACCACTACTTCGTGCCCGACGGGGACTATGAGGAAAATGATGATCCCGAAAAGTGCCAGCTGCTCTTCAGGGTGAGTGACCACCGGCGCTGCTCCCAGGGGGAGGGGAGCCAGGCCAGCAGTCTGCTGAGCCTCACCCTTCGGGAGGAGTTCACCGTGCTGGGCCGCCAGGTGGAGGATGCAGGGCGCGTCCTGGAGGGCATCAGTAAGAGCATCTCCTATGACCTGGATGGGGAAGAGAGCTACAGCAAGTATCTGCGGCGGGAGTCCCACCAGATCGGGGATGCCTACTCCAACTCCGACAAGTCCCTCACTGAGCTGGAAAGCAAGTTCAAGCAGGGCCAGGAACAGGACAGCCGGCAGGACACCAAGCTCAATGATGACTTTTTGGGGATGCTGGTCCACACCAGATCCCTGCTGAAGGAAACTCTTGACATCTCTGCAGGGCTCAGGGACAAATACGAGCTGCTGGCCCTCACCATCAGGAGCCATGGGACCAGACTAGGTCGACTGAAAAATGAGTATCTTAAAGTGTAGGTGAAAGGGCACACTGCCAGGGAGAGGGCATGACACCAGCCCCCTGGTGCAGGACGGGAGGTCAGAAGAGGGGGCTAATATTTCCCTGAGACTTAAGATTTTTTTATATCCAGATTTGCACTTGGAGAATGATTGAAGTCCTCTTTAGAAAGACGTGAGAGTTGAATGGTTTTGTTTTTGTACATTATTTATGTCGTAGCTATTGATTTGTTACCTGGAAAGAGCAAGTGACACTAAGCCTCCTGCCTCTCCTGGAGACTTCCTAGCTCTGCAGAGACACCTGATCCAGCCACCTCTAAAGGCAAAGCGTTGATGCAGTAGGGACTGGTTAACCTCCCCAGCCTGGAGATTATGCAGATATATCCAGAAGGCTAGTGCTTAGCTCCCTTCAGCCCTCAGCCTTTTCTCTTGGGTTCTGGAAGCTGTCAAAGTTGCCTGTTTGCAGATGAGGTCCCAGGTACTGCTCCACATGCCTGCCAGAGGATAAAAGTTGCCCGTTTCTTCTCCCTTTTTCTCTTATTTATTAACCAAGATCTCTAAGGTTTTGTTTTTAAGTATTTTGTTTTTGTTTCTGATAAGAGCATTGTCAAGAAACTATATGTAAATCATCCCTCACCGGGAGATTGCTGAGATGCCTTTGTGGGTGTGTGTAAGTTAGTGGCCACATTTAAGTCTAAGCATAGTGGTCATCCGGTCCTGTTGATAGGCTGATTTGTGTTGTCTCTTTTTGTACCTTTATGCCACCAGTGTTGCAGTTCATAGCAAAGTAGTTTGAACATACCCTAAATACCTATGACTTAGGTTTCCAATGTATTATTTCTCGTTTGGGGGTTTTGCTTCTATTTGCTTATTGGAAATTTGTATTTCAAGTAGAGGGGATTCCAATTCTAATAACTCGTTCACTAAGTTTTATTATTCCGCCAATAAATATATTCTCGTATATACTAGCTTATTTCCTAATTGCTATCTAATTTAACTTTCATGTTGCAAAGAGGGGCCAAGAAAAGGGAATGAGAAGAATATGATTTAAGTCTGTTTACTTGGAGCATATGATAAAGAATGCAGAGGGACAGCTACAAAGTTGGAAATCCCCCTCTTCCATGACCACCCTTCCTTTCCTCGAAAGAAAAAAATAATCCAGCCTGTGTCAGAATGCGATGTTTGCCAGTCTTTCTAAAAATTCCAAATCTATCCAGTTTTCCCCATGGAATTAACTGGAAAATGTTATAACAAACTCAAAACTTGTATGCCCTCACAATGCAGGGTTGTTCCATTTTGATTATAAAAACTCTAATAACAATTAGTAATTCTGAAGGCAGTTTGTTAATGGCTTTAAAAGATGGAAACACTTTATTTCATGTGTTTCCTCACCCAATCCTCACCTTCACCTTAAATGTACCTCCCTTTGGATGCACACATATACACAAGATGACAAGTAAATGTTTGCAATCTGCTCTTCAACAGGGAGACATTTTAAAAATTTCTCATTCATGAGGAAACCAGTTTTCTTTTACTATGAATTTCCAGTATCCTCCTACTGCAGTAGGAGAAACTGAGGCCCAGAAAGTGACATCTTTGTGGCATCCTCAGCTAGTAGAAACAGTTTCAGGTCCTCAGACTTAAGTACAGGACTTTCCCACACTGCTCTTTTCAAGGATGCTGAGAGACCTGGCTTTTGCATAGCTAGTTCATTGTTTAAAATAAAAAAGAACAGTCCATGGAATAATACTATAAATAATAATCTAATTTATTTTCATCACAATTTGACCTGCTTTTACACTGGTATGTACTCATTTTTAAGTTTTCTTCTGTATTCTATGAAAGATCAAAGGGGAAAAAACAGCCAAGACAAAGGAGATGACATTTGATGATAAATGTTTGTAGTTGGAAATCACAACCCTCATGTATGAAGACTTTCCTATCACTCACTTCACAGTTCTCAGGTCCAATCCATACTCATATTAAATGTCATCTCCTCAACTTTCCCAGCAATAATAGCAAGATTAGACACATGATACAGACGAAAAACTGGTTTCCTTGTGCATGCTCATTTCAGTCAGTTGGTAATGGATACATACAGTGTTATATTAAGAAGGATTTAAAAGACATCAATGGCAAATACTGTCCCCTGCTTGAGATGACTTCCATGGGAGCAGGGTGGGGAGTGGTGGAGCATCTGTTGCAGATTTGAAAACCTGAAATAGATTATGTCTGAGGTTCTTTCCAGGGCTGACATTCTCTGATTTCTACAAAACCAGAACAAAATTATCTGACATTGAATCATTCATTCAAGGTTAGCTATTCAGCTGCTCATCCCACTGAGTCTTGAGCAAACAGCCCCAGAGGGCAGATGGGAATTTCCAGGTGGGGAGAGGAGTCCTCCATGGCTGTCAGCTCAGAGGCTGCCATCACAGGCTTCTCCAGGTCCTCTGTGGTAGGGAGCCAGCCCCGTTCAGATCTTCCTTGTCCTCTATATTCTTAGTTGGACTTTGTGACAGGTGACAAATTATCTTTCAAGGGAGGGGCTCTTTATTTCTTCAACCATGAAAAATCTTGAGAATCTGAATAAAGTGACATACTTTCTTCCCTGAGACATATACTGATGGAAATACTGATAGCCAGACCATATAGTATATTGGTTATTTTTCAACTGTTTATCAGTCACTTAATATGCAATAGGCAAGAGTGGGTAATTCTAAGGTATTATGAAGCCTTGAGACCTGTCTATAGATCAAAAGTTTTAAATTACTCTTCAACTTTTGTCTGAGGTAATAGGTATTTATTATAGTAGTATTAATAATATTTTAGTAATAGCAACAAAATAGCTAACTTTTTTGAGAAATTGGTATTTTTCAGTCAGGTCTTGTGCTCAGAATGTCGCCTGGACTACTTCCCTTAATTCTAGCAATAAACAGCATGAGGAAAGTATATTATAAAAGGAATTAATATATGCCAAGTGCTCAGAACAGTACTTGACATGGAATGATCCCTCAGGACATGTTTTTGTTATTATTATTTTATTGTCGTTATTATTTATTTTTCATAACTGAGACCCAGTGGAGGAAATTTCCCCAAGGTTAAACTGTATGATGTCTCAAAACTTCCCTCTGTTTTAGTCTTTTAATTAGTGGTTATCTCGTAAGATATATGGCCAAATAAAGGAAAAAGGTGGAGGGTAGGAGTCCTCTGGAACCACCAGTCATCCCTTCCAAATGCTGGAATACCCATTAGCAGACTTTAGCTAGTACCCATTAGCTTCACAGTGCTCTGCTTAACCCTTGCGCCACCAGGGAGGCCCCTGACTGCTGGCAGTGAGAATCTGGGTGGTTCCTCTCTTTGCAGAACTCTTTTTTTTTAAAGATTTATTTATTTATTTATACAAGCACGGTGTACAGTCAGAAGTGCGGGAGGGTGAGAGGATTCACCAGAGCCAGAGCAGGGAACAGAACAGGCAGACTGATGAAGAAGTACACTCTTTGCAGAACTCTTCTTGGTACTCTGTGCAATGCATTCCTCAATACACTAATTCTTGAGCCCCCCCAATCTGACCATAGGAAAATCCATATACCATTTTTGACATTTTTTGTAGCTATCTGTCTATCGAGAGTCTGTGGAAAAAGATACCAGGCTATGTTAGTCTCGGCAACAAGCAAAGCCAAGCTCATAGAGACATAAGAAGCCAGCAGGTGTAGGTGTATTTTGGAAAAGGCAGCACCGAGAGACTATCCAAGTTCACATATTTTTCATTGCCTTTTAAACTCCCGTTAACAGCTCTGCTAAGGAAACAGGCTCAAAACTCTGAGAACAGGCTTGAAACTTAGAATATAAACTACTTTAACAAGTAATAAAAATGTCCACGAAAACCACTACAGATATGAAATACCCCTACAGGATAATATGGTCAAATTTCCTTAGCACATTTTTCAGAGGATGATTATTAAAATCTTCTTAAAAAGGAATAATATGTGAGTGTGAACTGTAAATGCTAAATGTGTCACAAATGTTTTAATATCACAGGGAGAACGGTTGGAGTCATAAGCCTTAGAACACAGAAATACATAACAAAGTTCACCAGTCACAAGAATCGGATTCTGCAAACCAGCTTGGTAATTTTGGAATTGGGGTGATTCTTAGGAATACAATATCCAGATGTAGGATCCCAATGAACAGGTTATACATCAAACATTTTAAAATTGCCACCATATGAGATATCCAGGATGGAAACAGTATATAGACATTTGAGAGAAACTGACACCTACACAAAGACTTGGAGTGGAGCAACATGGATTGGTGTCTACATGTGGTTCTAAGGGGGGTGAGCAAGAGTCTAAGCTAGAATCATCGGGAAAATGTGAAGCAGTGTCAATAAAATAAGGATTTAGAATAATCACACTTTCAAAAGATATAAGGGTTTCCTTGTCATTGTTTGTTGTTGTTTTGCCTTTTTTTAAGTTATTTATGCATACAAGAACTGAGGTGTAGGCCAGAGATGCGGGGGATGAGAGGATTCACCAGAGACAGAGTGGGAAGCAGAACAGACAGACTGACTGAAACACACCGCTGAGGGGAGCAGCAGGCGAGATAGGAGAGGTCTGCCACACGATGTGGGTCAGCTCCCTGGCCAGCTGGGGTGGAACTCTGCAGATAGCTTCACAGTGCTGTGCTTAACCCCTTGCGCCACCAGGGAGGCCCCTCTTTTGCCTTTTCAGTAACATTTTCTGACAACAAAAGCCATACCTGGGCCTCCCCTGGTGGTGCAGCGGTTGAGCACTGGGCTGTGAAGCTGCCCGCAGCCTCTGCAGTGCCGGTTCAATCCCCGGCCACAGGGCAAGGGTCCCACATGGTGCGCAGACCTCTCCTACCGTGCCCGCTGCTCCCCTCAGTAGTGTATTTCGTCAGTCTGCCTGTTTCTCTTCCCCACTCTGGCTCTGGTGAATTCTGTCACCCTCCCACGCTTCTGACTGTACCCAGTGCTTGTATAAATGAATAAATAAATCTTAAAAAAAAAGCCATACCTGATGAATTATAATATAACTTTAATGATATTAACATGGCAAACACAGCAAGACACAAACAAAACAAGATCACCCCCTGCTTGCCACACACCTGCTTTGTGCATTTTGCTGTACCTGCTTTCAGTGCTTTTCAGACATATTTTTGTATGTATTTTTTCCTTAAGGAAAAAATGATATTGTAATAACATGTTGCTTTGTAGCCAGCACTAATATTAGGCATTAAATAACCTTAATTGTATAAAACCTTTAAAAGCATTTAAATCTACCCAGAGTGCCTCAAGAGGCAGAAACTGTGGGTTCTGGATTTTTACCCCACCACATGCTCGCTGTGCAACTTTGAGCAATCCCATCAACTGTTCTGAATTTCATCCTGTCTGAAACATGAGATCTTCTATAAGGAAGGCCTCCCTGTGTAAGTAGGAGATATTTAAACTGATCCTCAGTAATAGCTAATATTTATTGAACAGGCACTGCTCAAAATGTTTTCCATATATTATCTTACATAATCCTCCTGGAATTATATTTCAGGTGGATGTTTTATTTTCTGAAATTTTTGGATAAAGAAACTGAGGCACAGGAGATTTATCCAAGGTCTCACAGGGAGACAGGAATGGAATGAAGATTCAAACTCAGGCAGATGACTCCTTTTTTGCCAGAGTGGCCATTTATAATGTTTTCCCTTTCAAAAAGCAGCACACTGGACACACAGTATCTCAACTTCCCTCCTGTTCTAGGATCCATGATACATGGCCTGCAATAGGAACATTTTCCTAACATGATTTTCTTAATTGAAAAATTCAAACCTGGTTCTCCCGGGTGGCTCAAGAGTTAAGTCTCAGTGCTATGAAGCTATAGGCAGTCATTGCAGCCTGAACTCGATCCCCAGCCAGGGAGCTGACCCACATGGCACAGCAGATCTTTCCTGCCTTGCCCGCT